TTGCTAGCGGCAAGTCGTGGACAGGCATCTTCCGTGACACATGTGACTTGGTAAAGGGTGAAAGGGTGTGGCCAGCAGTCCTTCCATCTCTCAAGAACCAAAGTGGTTAGAATTTGAGGCAGCTATTCCTTCAACTCCCACGTCTCAGAGCTTTGGGACTTTCTTCATAGGTGAAGGATGCTTACTGAGTATAATAGTGTGTTAGTCCCTGCCCTGCAGAAGCTGACCAACTCTCGGGGCCTCCTTTCCCTCCCACCTGACTCAGCATCATACTAGACCCAGTCAGCTCCCTCTGTGGTCCTCTGGGACTGAATTTGACAGTTGTTTGAAAGTCTAGCAGAAGGTTCATTCATGGGCTTTGTGAAACAATACAACGCAGCTCCTGTAATACTGTAAATGGACAATACTGTTTTTGAGAAGGGCTCTAGAAAGTTCTGGAATCACAAAATGAGTCTTCGGATAGTCACAGCATCCAGACAGATGATCTTCTGTTGAATCAAGTGAAGTTTCTTTTTTTTTTTTAAATAAATTTCAAATTTTCTTGACAGATTACAAATACAGTGCTTCAAAGATTTCTCTTTCAGTTCCCACCTAATGTATTTTCAGACCTCTTCCATCTTGTTCTTCGTGGAGCTTGTTCAAGTATTCCAGGTGTTTCTTTCTTGGCCGGCTGTATTTATTTATTTTTTTCCCTTGATTAAGCACCAGGCTCACCAGCTGCTTAGTTAAACCTTGTTTTGATGAGATTTTCTTTGTTTCAAACAGTTTCTCATACTCCATGTCAGCTCTGCTTGTTCCAAACAGTGATGGGATAAATCTGGGAATAATACTCTTGGCATGCTAGGAAAGATTTGAATATCTGGGGCTGATTTGCTCCACTGAGAGGTCCCATACCCTACTAGGAATCCTACAACAAGCTTTCATTTCAGTCCTTGACTTACTAAAGGTAAGTTATTTTGCACACTGCCCTGAGCCAGTGGTTCGGGGTCTGAAGTCCATGAAGTTCTGATTTTGTTGGCTATGTTGTGGGGGCTGTTGGGGGCGGTGGGGGACACAGTGGGACAGGGGAGGTTGGAATCTGACCAGGTTGGCTCCAAACACACAGCTCAAAATACTTCTAAACATAATTTTTATAGAGTCAAACTGCTCTCTGAAACTCTGTTCCAGTTTCTACTCTCACTGTATTTTGCCATGCCCTGACTTATGCTGGATATTCAATCTTCTTTAATTTTTCTAGTCTCATGGGTAAAAAAAAAATCTCATTCTTCTTTGAATTTGCATTTCCATTATTAATAGTGAGGGTCAGGCTCTTTTTACATGTGATTGGGCATGTATTTTTTTCTGTAACTTGCTATACCCATTTTTATAAGATACTTTCTGATTTTTTTGGAGCTATTCTGTTATTAAGATAATTAATATGTGTTAAAAAGTATCTTCTATCAAGGGTTAATTTATTTTTATTCATGACAACTTTAAAAAATTTTTATTGTATTATTTCTGGATTTTATGTCTTTCTTCAAAGTGTTTTTGCAGCTCCAGGATAGAAAAATGCTAGCCTCTGTTTTCTTCGGAGACTTCTAGAGTTTTGTTTCTTCCCATTTAGTTTTTGAATATCAGGTCTTGGGATTTGACTTGACTGAGTGGCTAATTAGCGGCCTTGTTACTGTTTCATGGATTCTGGCAGAGGACGTGAGACTCCGGGTCCAGAGACAAAGGGTGCTTCCTCACAGCACAGTATCGGCTATTCCTATAGATTCCTTTGCCCCAGGGCCCAGGGGCGGTGCTGAGCACCTGTTCTCCATCTCAGGAGAAGACCGCCGAGCTCAGGGAGCCAGCCATCCTACAGCAGGGAGAAATGCTGCCTCCCCTCTCAACGGTGCTCATGGCAAACACAGCTCTGAGAAACCACCTAGGCACGCATTCTTGGCACACCTGGTAGGATGTGTCAAGGAATGAGGCCCATCAGGGACTGGCTCCCAACAAACCCATGCAGAATATATTCCCATACACGATGGGAGCTAGGGGTCCTTTTTTTAACTCAAGTGGGTGGCTGGTAGTCCAACACTGTTTGCTACGTAGCTCATCATTAGTTAGTAGTCAGTTAAAATCACCACCAACTTGAAATACCACTTTTGCCACATACCACATGCCCCTGCATAAGTAACACGCTTCTGGATTTACACTTTGGTTAATGTGAACGGCGTCTCTGTCCTTGACAACAAAACCACACTGGTTGGTTGACAAGAGTGATGCACTGTTTCAGTATCTGATATGCCTGCTCCCCTGTTTTGGGGTGGGACAGCTATTCCTGCTCATTTTCTCCTCCGGTGAAACTTATTCTTTTAACTTTTTTTTTTAATTGAAGTTTAGTTGATCTACAATGTTGTGTTAGTTTCGGGTGTACAGCATAGTGATTCAGGTGTACATATGCATTTTCATTTTGTTTTCCATTATGGTTTATCACAGGATATTGAATATAGTTCCCTGTGCTGTACAGCAGGACCTTGCTGTTCATCTCTTTTTTGTACAGTAGTGTGTGTCTTCTGATCCCACCCTCCTAGTTTATCCCTCTCCTCCCTTTCCCCTTTGGTAACCGGAAATTTGTTTTCTATGTCTGTGAGTCTGTTTCTGTTTGGTAATTAAATTCAGTTTTTATCATATTCTAGATTCCAGATATAAGTAATAGCATATGGTATTTTTCTTTTGCTTTCTGACTTACTTCACTTAGAATGATCATCTCCAGGTTCATCCATGTTGCTGCAGATGGCATTATTTTATTCTTTTTCATGGCTGAGTAGTATTCCACCGTATACATATATATCCCACAACTTCTTTATCCAGTCATCTCTTGATGAACATTTAGGTTGCTTATCCTTATATACTTTTAACTCAGGAGTATGCCCTTAGGTGCGTGTTATGAGACCTAACAAGTCATCCTCACATATTTGATGTTAAAAGAGCAGCAGATGATCTTGAACACTGACTCCTCAGATGAGCCTCACTAGCCTAAGTCACAACCTCTGCTTCACTTGATGGGCTGGTGGGGGAAATATTTTGACCTTACAACAGTGATACAGCTTTGATAGACTATCCTCCAGAAAGAAAAATATGTGCATGCAAAATTAGGATGAGTACAAGGAGAATCATCTTAAGTGACGAGCTGAATGCAAGTGGGCAAAAAAGCACAAGTAGATAAAATGTCTTCAAAGAAAATGTCTGTATATTGTGGAGACAGAGTGAG